AGAGGTTCACAGTAACCAGCTCACATGGACGCTGGAACTTAAGAGCTTAGACCCTCTGAGCCCCCCCCCCCCCCCCCTACGCCTGGCCGCTACCAGAAATCTTTTTTTTCAGGGGTAAAGCGACCATCTAGGGATGCATATATATATATCATTTCCGCCCCAAACAAACCGTGTTCGGCCTTTTATTCATGCTTGGTGACCTGTGAGACCTGGACACTTACTAAACAAGCGGAACAGCGCATAAATGCATTTGAATATAAATGTTACAGACAGGTTCTAAGAATATCTTGGGTAAAGAAAAGAACAAATGCATCCATACTTCAAGAGCTGAATATTGAAGAGGGTTGGCTAGTAAAGACAATAAAACAAAGAAAATTGAAATATTTTGGTCACTTGAAACGTCATGGAGGTCTAGAGAGAACAATAATGGAGGGGTATATGCCTGGGAAGAGAGGAAGAGGAAGGCCAAGGAGAAGATGGGTGCAGGATGTGGCAGATGATCTCCAGATGGGTGTATCAGACGCAGGACATCTTGCTCATGATAGGAAGGTTTTCCGGAGGGTTGTTATGGCAGCGAGGTTCCGCGAGGGACATGCTACTGAATGAATGAATGAATGGTGACCTGTCACACACGCTAGTCTATTTTAAAGGGGTGTCATGTTGTGTTGTCTTCGCAAAGTGCTTTCTATATTACGTGTGAGCGGCGAACTACATGTTGTGTTTTACTCGTTGCTGTGAGCGGCTGGCGACATTGCGTACATTATAGTTTTTCTTGACTCCAAGTGGGGCATAACATTACTTCAGCTGTCCGCATTGACGAGCGATAAAAAGAGCAGCGTTGCTTTTCTGCAGCAATACGGCTATTTAGGGTGCATCGGAAAATGTTAACAATTCAGAAATTAGGGGATGTAGGCTGCGCTCTCTCGTGGGACATAGGCTGAGGCTCTGTGGTAGAGGGGTTGGGGTTAGGGCCAGTTTTAGATGTTGTGTAATATAGAACATGGGATATTGCCAGTGATAGCATCAAAGAAAACAGAATGTTACACGTAGGCTGCACTCTCTAAAGTATAAAATCCCAAGGACTTAGAAAATCTAACGCCAAGTACATAAATTCATGTTCATCTGTACAGGAGTTTTCAAAATATTTGGTAAAAGTATGACAGCATGAGTTTTGAAACGCACTGTAACAAGTATTTTCATGGCAAAGATATTTTAAATATACTATGAATAGCTTCATACTCGTCTATTTCAGCGTCACCTTCTAGGAAGTATGCTTCCAAGTACTATAAAAACCGTAGTGTTTCAATGGACAACATATTTCAGGTTCATACATAGGATGCTGTTTATATTTTGTAAGTAAGCTCGGCGAATAATTATTTGGAAGCAGCTGAAATGTGGTTTTATAGACGGATAATGAGAATACCCTGGACAGATAAAAAGAGTAATGAAGATGTCTTGAGAGAAACTGACTTACGATGAGAACTATTTTTCCACATCAGAAAGAGACAATCAACATTCATTTTCCATGTCATGAGAAGGAGAAAACTGGGGTACATCATGGGAAAGGTAGAGGGGAAAAGAAGCAGAGGGGGACCGAGAGAGAAGATGTGGTTTTACAGTTTTACATCATCTTGGAAAAATCATCAGAATTTATTGAAAGTACACGAGACAGAGGGTTGTGGATAGACATCAATACCAGCGCCATACAGCAGAGACTTTAAACAGAAGTAAAAGTATGCAGAGAACCCTTTTCATTACTTTCAAACTAGACCATTTTGTTTATAGACCAATTGGTTCTCTTGAAATGTGATATGGACAACATTACGCTGGCTGCCTTTACTTTTGCAGGACATTACCTGGTACCCATTTTAGACTAGGTCGACCAAAGAGTCTATGTCAGTTTAAAAAAAACACATATCCTCTTGATAGAGATTTGAACCCTATGTATTTTACATGGCCTCTCGACTTGCACAAGAACAGGAATCCCCGTTGACTTAAAAATATATTCAGTTGTGGTATATTATATCCAGGATATTCTGGTGTGCGGAGTAATGAGCAAGCTAATAGATTGGCCGCTGCCGCTCCTCTAGGTGGTGAGCTAGGTTATGATAAAGTAGAAGTGGTGAAGGTTCTCAGAATCAAGTGAACAGTGCAACAGAACAGACCGAGAATCCATACACTGATAGACTTAATTCAGCAGGTATGAGCAGAGTGTCTGGAGGATATTCAACGCTGCGGGGGAAAACATAGCCAGACTTTTAATCAGGCTGCAGCAGGTACTTTTAGCATATAGACTCTTCAGTGGCTACTGAGGAAGGAGACGGAGCAAGTGTGGGAATGTCCCGAGTGCAGGATGTCAGTTCTGGACTCATTAATTTACCCTAAACAACAACATTATGTAGCATATTCTCTGCAGAACATCGCTCTTACCATGGTCTACCTGAAAGAAACTCTAGGTATCTCACCAGCTCTCCCGCCACATACACTCTCCTACCCAAGATGTAACATATAACATGTGCCCCATCTTCGCACTGGTCAACCCCTGCCTCTATTTCCTGACACCATGCCTTCTGCTATTATTCTTTCCAATATGCAGCAGCTCTTGATATGGCCAAAATATTTCAGTTTCTGAGAGACTTTGCCTACCTGCCAATCTTCCTTGATGTTCGAATCTTTTAGGATGTCAGTATCAGATATTCTGAAAATCGTGAAGACCTGACTTTTCAGCTCAAAAGCTAGAACCCTAGAAATTATTCACATATACTATCTTGGGAAAATCAAACTTAATGAATCTATTCTGATATGAATTCTCATATTAAAGATCACTGAAATCTTTGGGTAAAACATTGCCATCGAGAAGGCTTTTTGAGATCTTGTTCAATCTCAGTATTTTTTGTTCTAGAATGTCAGTATTGTTTTTGTCTAGAATGTCAGTATGTTTCCTCTATAATGTTAGTATTTTACTTCTAGAATGTCAATATTTTTCTTCTATAATGTTAGTATTTTACTACTAGAATGACAGTATTTTTTTTAGAATATCAGCATTTTCTTCTAGAATATCAGTATTGTTTTTTCTTCTTCTAGAATGTCAGTATTTTTCTTCTATAATTTTAGTATTTTAATTCTAGAATGTCAGTATTTTTTCTTTTATTGTCAGGTTTTTTTTACTTCTAGAATGTCAGTATTTTACTTCTAGAATGTAAGTATTTTAGTTCTATAATGTCAGTACTTTACTTATAGAATATCAGTATTTTACTTGTAGAATGTCAGTAGTTTCCTTCTAGAATGTCAGAATTTTTCTTCTACAATGTCATTATTTGTCTTCTATAATGTCAGTATTTTACTTCTAGAATGTCAGTATTTTTTTTCTAGATTGTAATTTTTTACTTCTAGAATGTAAGTATTCTACTTCTAGAATGTAAGTATTCTACTTCTATAATGTCAGTATTTTACTTCTATAATGTCAGTATTTTACTTCTATAATGTTAGTAGTTTACTTCTAAAATGTCAGTATATTACTTCTAGAATGTCAGTATTTTCTTCTAGAATGTCAGTGATCGGTTCTTTCGCAATATCTTACTCCAGATGACGTCACAGGACAGTCAAACATTTTAGAGGGTGGTAAGACTGGGCTTCCCGGCTTTTGGATGCAGCCTATCTACCACCCCCTGTAATAGTAGACTGTTCTGTGACCTGTGGATTTCCCCCATTTGGGGTAGGATATGGAGAAAGCACCCAGTAATCTTTTAGAATGTCAGTAATCTTCTAGAATGAGAGTATTTTTCTTTTTCAGTGACAAATACTGGTGAGCAGTTATACTTGATTTCATTCATGACATAAGGATTACACAGGATAGTATTGGAGTAGAGAAACTGACTTCAAGCACTTAGTGAAAACAAAAATGGTAAAACAGGATCGCGGTGATACCAGCCTTCTGTAATTTTGATAATTTTAAATAATAACTCATTTATTTAAAAAAATACACACAATAACAAAATGAAACAGCATTACAAGTTTATGGTTTAGCACCAGAAAGGAAATGAAAGTCAAAATGTTGAGAGCATGCGACTTGTTTGTAGCAACATACGGATGTGAGTCGTGGACTAGGCTGCATGCATGGAAGAAAATATGGGCTTTTGAACTTCTTCTTCTTCTTCTTCTTCTTTGCATACACCAGCTGTAAGCTCTGGTGAAAAGTTCTGGTTGTTCATCCACTTCTGGACTGCAGTCCTGTTCCAGAACCTGAGTGTTGCGTGTGCATCTGTTTTACAGATCCGACTCATTTGTATGCAGACTGCTGGTTCCTTGCCTCTCAGGCAGATGAACTCAGACTTCGAGGGAAGCTCCCAGTTAGTGGACTCTTACGACATGCTTTTAGGTAGGCAGTGGGTTTATTCTTGTTTTCCCCTATAATAGGGCCCTGGAACCCACATGAGGGGCTTTTGAACTGAAATGCTAAAGATAGATTCTCAGAATACCATAAACAAATAAGAAAAAAATACGGCCATCCTAAAATATCTCAACATGGGGGGTGGGGTGGGGGGGGGGGGTGGGGGGGGGGTGGAGGCCCAAGAGGCCTGAGCCCTCCGATTCCTGCACAAATGGTCTGATTTGTCCACCTGAGATTACTGGTACACAATTATGCTCACGCAGAAACAAGTTACTGACATACCATCCATGGCAAAGGCAGAAATAAAACAGATGGGTACTTTATTAATATCCAACCCCAGATGATGTCACAGGACATTCCAACATTTCAGAGGGTGGTAACACTGGGTTTGCCAGCTTTCTTATGCTTTTAAGTACCCCAAAACATCTAGAACTAGCCCTAACCTACATCCCACAAGAGAGTGAAGCCTAGGTTCTACCACTGCATGCAGCCTATCTACCACCCCCTGAAATATTAGACTGTCCTGTGACCGTGACATGTGGATTTTCCCTGTTTGGGGTAGGATATTAAAAAAGCACGAACAGATGAAAGAAAGGGGCGGCTAAGATGTCTACTGGTTCATTATATTCAGTTCTTCTTGCTCCCTGCTGCTGGACATGGCTTTAATCAGTGAGGACAGAAATCGGTAGAAGTCTCTCCGGACGGAGTCAGCATCATCTTCCAGGTTTGTGTTCACCGAGGGAATCTTGTTAAAGTTGTGAGCTGTAGGAAGATCGAAGAAGGGAAGAAAGCAGAAGATTCAGCAGTGTTGTACATTTTTGTATAAGTGGTTGGTTGGTTGTGTAGTTGGTTGTCTGATTGTTTCTGTGGTTCATTGTGTGATCGGTTCTCTGGTTGTGTAGTTGGTTGTCCGGTTGTTTCTGTAATTCATTGTGTGATCGGTTCTCTGGTTGTGTGGCTGGTTGTCTGATTGCTTGATTTTATAGTTGTCTGGTTGTTTGGTTGGTTTTGTGTTTGTCTGGTTATATGATTTGTTGCTGGTTGTATAGCTGGTTTTGTGGTTGTCTGGCTGGTTTTGTGGTTTTCTGGTTTTTGGGTTGTCTGGCTGGTTTTGTGCTTGTCTGGTTTTTGGGTTGTCTGGCTGGTTTTGTGCTTGTCTGGTTGGTTGTCTGGTTTTGTTGTTGTTGTTGTCTGTTTATGTGGGTGTTTTTTGTCTGGTCATATGGTTAGTTTTCTGGTTTTGTAGTTGTCTGGTTTTGGGGGCGTATGGTCGGTTTTGTGGTTGTGTGGTTGGTTGTCTAGGTGTGTGGTGGATTATCTGCTTGTGTGGTGGGTTGCCTGGTTGTTTGATTGGCCGCCTGGTTTTCTGCGTGTGTGGCTGGTTAGCTTTGTGGTTGACTAGCTGTCTGGTTGTTTGTATGACTGAATATTTGTCTGACTGATTGTTTGGGTGACTGGTTAACAGGGAGCCATGGTGGTGTAGTGGCTAGATAATCCACCCATTTCAAGCCAAAGATGCATCAAGCATGTGATGCTAGAGCCCATATTTTTACAGACCAATCAGAACCAGATGGATGATATGATCAACAATAACCGCAAACATGTCCATCTACATCTTTTTTTGACCTGACCCCTTTAAACAAAAATTTTTCTTTAACATCAATGGGTAAGACTCTCTTGCCACGCCAACAATTCAAAAGAATGGTCCATTTACAACAGAAATCACTGTCTGGTACTCCTAGGCTTGTAAAACCCAAATACTACCATCGAAGCCACACAGCCTAAATAAGGATCCAGTTAAATATATTTTATGATAAAGAAACACAAAAAACAATGTTAAATATTGAATTAGTAACTAACATCACACCCCTCAGGACATTCCCGCAAGCACTTATGGCATTCTCATAGGCACTCCATCCTTATCTTCAGCAACAAGCACAGAGTTCCAATTCCGAAGGCATCAGTAACTCTGTATATCGCCTTTCACTTGAGTGTTAAGCGTCAGTCAAATCCCCTGGTCACTGCTCACAACACAATTCTTGCCTCCCCGTCAGCCAAATCCCCTGGTCACTGCTCGAAACACTATTCTTGCCTCCCTGTCAGACAAATCCCCTGGTCACTGCTCGCAACATAATTGTTGCCTCCCTGTCAGCCAAATCCTCTGGACACTGCTCGCAACATCATTCTTGCCTCCCTGTCAGCCAAATCCCCTGGTCACTGCTTGCAACACAATTCTTGCCTCCCTGTCAGCCAAATCCCCTGGTCACTGCTCGCAAAACAATTCTTGCCTCCCTGTCAGCCAAATCCCCTGGTCACTGCTCGCAACACTATTCTTGCCTCCCTGTCAGCCAAATCCCCTGGTCACTGCTCGCAACATCATTGTTGCCTCCCTGTCAGCCAAATCCCCTGGTCACTGCTCGCAACATCATTGTTGCCTCCCTGTCAGCCAAATCCCCTGGTCACTGCTCGCAACACCATTGTTGCCTCCCTGTCAGCCAAATCCCCTGGTCACTGCTTGCAACACAATTCTTGCCTTCTCGTCTGCCAAATCCCCTGGTCACTGCTCGCAAAACCATTCTTGCCTTCTCGTCAGCCAAATCCCCTGGCCACTGCTCACAACACCATTCTTGCCTCCCAAAGGACCCTTACAACATTTAGCTTGTCATGCATCAATTCACCGATATCTGATAAAACAAAAATGCTTGGAAATGATCAAAGTTAAATCAAGCAAAATGGATCTCCTCAGGTGGCTTCCAGGGCTCTAATTTAGAGGACAAATAATGGACAGACTGCTGCTCTGAAAAGTACGTCGAAAAAAGCGACTATTTAAGGGCTTTTTGACGTCAGATTTACTATGCTGAAAGGCACAGATATTGCAGCCTAGCTGTAAACTACAACACAACATACCCCTCGCCCTTCTAAGGAAGAATGCAGAAATTAATTTTTGGAAGCAACAAAAAAGCCAGGAACTTATCAAAGCTGAATAAAGCACAACGCAGATTACTTTTTTTCAAAGAGATAAGAATCTACACTGTCTGTTTCAAGCAATAACTGGCTGTAAACAGGAGGCATAAGGACCTTGACATACATGACACAGCAGTTTAGGCTAACTGAAATGTGCCGTTGCATATTTATAACATAAAGACGAACGTATCTATGTCAATTAGTAAATTAGGTCAGCAAAATAAATTATATTAACTCTTTCTCTACCATGTTATATTGGTTGGTCCTATGGCAACACTTTCCTGACATGAACAAAGAAGACACAAACAACAGATTTCAAATTTACTGCCTGGCATATTTCGTTATATCTCGTCAGGTGCACACTATAGTATGGTTGCTGTGTTTGTTGTGCCCAGTACGCAATCTAAATATTAGTGGAATATTTCCATATAAATATCCGGTCTAATTCTTTCCGGTGAGAAGGTTGACTGGGGGTCTTCAGGAATGTGTCCTGGTTGGGATGTGTTCCAGTGGGTTCTAGTAACTGTCTTGATCTGAGTTTTATTCTCCTCATAACTGCATCATGTATCTGCCTGTTCTGGGTGACTTCCTCCTTCATTCCTTAATGAAGTATACTGTTTACTAAAATTAATGAAGTATGTCAACAGAAGAGGGAGAACAGAGAAATTATATGATGGCGAGCAAGTCACCAGTTGGCTAGCCGGCAGATGACTTTGTCGCTGGTCAGGACAACATTGGGTCTGTCTCCTTTAATCGGATCAACACTGCAAAGAGTCCTTTTTAGTACTCTTGATGGCGTGCAGTGCTAAGCCATTTTATATGGCGCACATAACCTAGTCACAATTATAACCTAAAGCTCCCCCTTCAGGAATGCTGGTTGAGTGTGACGATTTTTATATAAAAATAATTTGTAAGCAAAGCATCAGATGGGAGAAATTAGGTCCTAATTTTTGAGGGAAAAAAACGAGGGGGGGGGGGGGGGGGGGGAGCAGCAGTCCATTGAAATGTCATCTCAGTCACAAAGTAACCACACTGGAAATCAATATAAATATACGCCCCAAAAGTCTGGCTACATTAGGCACACATAAACCTTTTCAAGAAATAAAAGGTGCTTTATTATTATCCTACCCCAGATGACATCACAGGACAGTCCAACATTTTAGAGGGTGGTAAGACTGGGTTTCCTGGCTTTCTGATGCTTTTAACGACCCCCAAAACATCTAGAACTGGTCCTAGCCCCAACCTACCTATGCCCTATGAGAGAGTGCAGCCTAGGTCCCAGGACTGCATGCAACCCACTACCCCCCTGAAATATTAGACTGTCACGTTTAGGGTAGGCTATTAAACACTTGATTTAATTAGAATATTCCTGTGTGGGTTCAGAGGAAAAGAGACCCACTGCTTCCCACAACAAGCAGGTTGTTGGAGTTGACTAACTAAAGTTGGAGTACATCTGCCTGAGAGGCAAGGAACCAAGAGTCTGCACACAAATAAGAACAAGACTAAAGTCTATAGAGGATGAACACCCAGAAATTTCTGCCAGCGTTCACAGCAAGTGAATGTGAAGAAGAAGAGGAAGAATTAGAATATAAAATTATGTACTTAATTCGATTTCCATCACTTGTGATGCAAAGATTGATGCCTTTTGAAAAATTCCTGTGAACTGAATGTAATAAATCTCCACTGTTGTAAATTTTAGCATAATAACTCGTTATGTATTTAATTAAGTGTGTTACATCTGTGATTTTCACTGAGCACACCTTCTCCTTTAGCACACTCCAGAAAAAGAAGCCAAGGGGGTTAAGGACAGGTGAATAAGGAGACCCCTTCACAGGGCCACATCTTCTGATCCATTTAGGGAAATTATAGTTAATGAGCCCTAGAGCAGAAAATAATAACATGTAAAATGGGCTGTCTCCACAAGGTCACTAGCAACACTAGACAAGACAGGGTTATGAAAAGAAGCATTAAAGAGAAACCTGGAATAAGAGCATGTCTGGATAATATTGACAAAGAATGAAATTGTTAGGCCATCAAAAAAGAATGCAGCCAGACCAGACTGCATACGATACTTCTTACTGTAGAATATCTGGAAGGAAGGCAAGAGGAAGACCAAGAAAGATATGGATAAATGGTGTAGATGAAACCTGCAAAAAGTTGAACATAACCATCATCCAAGACACCTGACAAATACAGAAAACCACGACACTGGGTAACTGGTCACTGGTAACAGTAAGACGACAAAAGAAGAGGAAGAAGACAGTTAATGAGATTTCCTATGTTTTCCAACCTTAAGGACACTGACACAATGGGCAATGCCATACAGCATCAACTATAGGAAGAAAGATCATGCTTACACAGTTCTACAGATTCCCCTGCTGTGTGCGGTTTACGATGAGCAAACACAATGCATTGATTCTCCTTCAGATGGTTGTTCCCAATGATGAAGTTGTACCTGGAGTAGCATATATAAAGACAAGTCAGTTACAGAAATAATGCATTGACTCTTCTCAATTGACTCTTCTCATCCTAGGAGATCACAGGTTTTTTTAATTCTTTTTTTTTGGACAAGTCAACTCAAAGGGCATTAACAGGTCACCCTGTACTGATTCTTAACTCTGTCCTAAAGGTTAGTTGTGTATCCTTTACAGGACGATGCAGAACCAACCTCAACAGCCCCTGGCTGTTGTGTGGTTTTTCTAGTCAAATTTATGTCCAAAGTCCGCCTTATAAAGGGGATCGTCTTATACTTGGGAAAATACAGTATTTAATTTTTTTTTTTGGGGGGGTAAAAGAAGAAATTTTTGTAAAGAAAATGTAGACAAATAATATTTTATCCAAACCAGACTCGTTATCCAGATTTAAACAGTTATGACTTGAATATTAGGAGATCAGGACAGAAATACATACAGCAACAGCTGCTTGTACAACATCAAACAGCTTATCCTTTACAGCATCTTGTTCTCGTTATGGCACCCCTGTACTCTCCATCACGGTTCTCTCCAGCCACCACAACATTTAACTTCCAAGTTAGGAACTACAACCATGATCATACTTACCAAATGTCCAGATCTTTATCGTGATTGGGCTGGTCTGGGTTGTAAACAAAAACCGCTCCACTGGCATCTCTGACCATGGCTGGCCAGCAGGACTCAAATCTGCAACAGTTAAGTCAACATTTTCATTCTCAAATCTGTAACAGTTAGGTCAACATTTGCATTCTCAAATCTGTAACAGTTAGGTCAACATTTGCATTCTCAAATCTGTAACAGTTAGTCAACATCTTCATTCTCAAATCTGTAACAGTTAGGTCAACATTTTCATTATCAAATCTGTAACAGTTAGTCAACATTTTCATTCTCAAATCTGTAACAGTTAGGTCAACATTTTCATTATCAAACCTGTAACAGTTAGTCAACATTTTCATTCTCAAATCTGTAACAGTTAGTCAACATTTTCATTCTCAAATCTGTAACAGTTAGGTCAACATTTTCATTATCAAATCTGTAACAGTTAGGTCAACATTTTCATTATCAAATCTGTAACAGTTAGGTCAACATTTTCATTATCAGTTTACACACATGCAGAATATAAACTGTGGAAAGAAATGTAACTTGAAAACATGTCCCAGCCAATGCACTGTGTGTGAACAGCTTTAATCAGTGTGTATCAAACAATAAAAGGCATGTATGTGCATATTTACCATTTGGGTTAATCATTGTCAAAGATTTGAACATCAAGGAAGATTGGCCAATAAACAGCATCCTGTCTCCGAAGATGAAATTTTTTGGTCATATCAAGCGCCACGACAGATTTGAAAAAATGTTAGGTGAAGGCATAGTACCAGGAAGAAGGGGCAGGGGCTGACCAACATGAAGAAGGGTACAGGATATAAGTGACTCCTTCAGTGTGAATGTACATGAGGCGGGAGAGCTGGCGAGAGCCGAGTTTCTTTCAGGCAGACTGTGATGAGAGCGACGTTCTGCAAAGGACCTGCCACATGATGATGATGATGGGTTGATCGTATAAGGGCAGATAAAGTAAAATATCTAAATGATGTAGCACAAGAAGCGGAGACAGCAGCAACAAAAGGAAACCTCAGAGAACTTTACAGTAACACAAGAAAATTAGTAGGTAAATATAGTCAGCCAACTGGATCAAACAAAAATAGTGAAGGAAAAGTACTAACACTAAAGATCAAATGGACAGATGGGTTGAATATTTTGAAATGCTTCTAAATAGACCAGGTCCAGAGGTTCCCCCCAGATATCCAGCCTTTAGAAATGGAACTGGATATCAACTGTGAGATACTGAGTAAACAGGAGAACAGCGTAACTAGAATGTCTTTGCACTGGAACCCATATGGGCATAGGATTAAAAGAAGGCCAAAAAACAGAATGAAGTTGGAAAGATGGGGAGGACATGGGGAGAGCTCCATGCAATGGCGAAGGATAGAACGACTTGGCGTGAGTTGGTTGAGGGCCTATGCTCCATTGGGGGATAGAAAGGCAGAAGAAGAAGAAGAAGAACATCCAATTCTTTTTTCATCCATGATCTTGGCTTCCAGGTCAAACTAGCCTTAAAATGGGTGCCAGAGAAAGTTCTGGGAAGTAAAGGCAGCCGGCATGATGTTGACATCATCCATCAAGGGCTGACTGGTTTATAAAGCCTCATATGCCCGACACAACACTAGCGTGTAAAGGGACTTTTACTTTAAAAAAACCCAAACAAAATGAAATTTTTATGTTTTTTTGGCAGAACAGTCTATGATGTTCGTTTGAAAACAATATACTCATGCTCTTTTCATTGTGTCTATTTTCTCCTCAAGTGTTTATAAGGAAATCTTCTGGTAGCATTAGTATACGAAGGTCAGAACAGGCCCTGAGCCTTGTCTTTAGAATTGTACCCACAGAGGCAGAGGAATAAAGGCAGACAAAAAATAAAAAGGAACACACACACACGCACTCATACATAAAGAAGGATCCCAGAGAGAGAAATTAAAAATATGAAACGGTGAGAGGACATTGAGTGAGCTGCATGCAAAGGACAGACTTGGCTTGCGCTAGTTGGCTGCTTATTGACATATGATTTAGGACAGAACAAAATGAAGCATCAAGCATAGCATGGTGCTTTATTATCGATTTTGTATTTGGCAAGCAAATGCAAAAGAAGTCTGGCTAAATGTTTTAACATGAAACAATGTATTAATTTGAGAGAAAGTAAGATACTCATACTTTTGAAATTGTACTAATTGGGCCAGTTTGGCACCTGTTGCATAATCTTCTGGGACTAAAAAATGCTGATGTGCGCTGGTCTTATTAGTCACGCTTGCTTTCAATAAAGGTTTTGATTTTCATGTTTCCTTACAGAATAATGTAATAGCATCACCTGAAAGATTAAATGGACCAACAATGGTTGACCTTCAGTGCAGAGATATCAGATGATTATATAAAAAACACCACTCAACTCTTTCCTGCACAGGAGGAAAAGAGGAGTAGGAAGCTGAAGAAGAAGAAGCAGAAAAAGGAGGAGGAGAAAGAAGGAAAAGAAGAGGAGAAATAAGAATAAGATGAGGAGGGGAAGAACTAGAATAAGAAGCGGAAGAAGAAGCAGAACAAGATGAAGCTCCCCTTGTGAGTTCAGGGGCCCTATTATGGAGAAAAACAAGAACAGACCAACTGCCTCCCCAACAAGCATGTCATAAGAGTCAACTAACTGGGGGCTTTCTTCTAAATCAGAGGGCATTGCCTGAGAGGCAAGGAACAAACAATCTGCATACATATAAGTCAGATCTGTAAAGTGGATGTGCACGCAACACTCAGGTTCTGGAACAAGGCTAAAGTCCAGAGGTGGATAAACAATCAGAATTATACACCAGAGTTTACAGCCAGTAAACAGGAAAACCAGAAGACGAAGAGAAGAATATAAAGAGGAAGAGGAGAAAGAAGAAGAGGAAGACAGAAGAAGATGAGGAAAAGGAGGAAGAAAAATAAGAAGAGGAATAGGAGGTCAAGATAACATACTTTCTGTCACCGCTGCAGTCCCATAGTTCCACATCGACGGGTGATCGGCCTGTGTCCGCTGCACTTGCTTCAAATTCAACAATCCTGGATTATATTATTATGTATGCTGTCATCAGAACGGGAAATAATATATCTTCACATATACAAGATAGGGAGTCGCTGTGGTGTAGCAGCTAGACACTCGCTTACGAATCTGAAAGTCGTGGGTTTGAATCCGAACTGAGCCAGACTTTCTTCGAAAATGACTTTAGCTCCCAGATTGACCCAGCCTTGAGAGGGTAGAAGGTAAATTCCTGGGAAGCATAGGCAGCCTGCGTGATGCTGGCCATATCACCCACTGAATGCTAATTGGCTATAAAACATAGGTCTAGTCCTGTATGCCCAATAAGCCTGAAGGTTCGGAAAAGGGCTCTCTATTTTATACTACATTACACATTATAAATCACGCATTCATCAGAGAAGAATCTTTTAATGTTGATAAATGCAGACAAAATGACATTTACACTTTAGTGACATGCATGCTTTCATTTGTTTCTGTTGGTGTATTTTTTTGTTACTGATGAAGGTGACATCACATAAACAACTGACTAAATATATGTATTGTCCTGTTGTTCCATTATGTGTCACATAGGGCAGTATAGAGTGTATTTTTTGTTACTGATGAAGGTGACATCGCAGAAACAACTGATTAAATATATGTATTGTCCTGTTGTTCCATTATGTGTCACATAGGGCAGTATAGGGTGTATTTTTTGTTACTGATGAAGGTGACATCCCAGAAACAACTGATTAAATATATGTATTGTCCTGTTGTTCCATTATATGTCACACAGGGTTCACAGTCTATTTCTCCATTACCTTCTATCCAGTGCAGTCCCTTTAAAATCACAGATAGATTTCAGTCCAGCACCCTTGGTTTCTCTCATCAACGTCTTTTTTTAGGGTTTTCTCTGAGACGTCCTCGCTTCCTCAATCCTTTTATCTCCTATTTCAGAGCCTGTATGATGTCCAATATTTCTTGGTCTTATAACTGTTGTTACCAGTGTTTGCCCAGACATTTTTCTTATTTCTTCACTGCTCTTGTATTTGCTTAGATTTTATGTTCACTTTAGTGCAGTTGTCTCCTACCGGGGGAACTTTCAAAAGTTTTAAGGCGGGGTGACAAACTTTTAAAATTTAGTACATTTGCACTTGTAATAATCTGGATTTTCAGCTTCAACGGTCACGAAAACAAACAAACAAACAAGCACAGTCAGCTTGTTGTTGAGAGTGATCTCCCTTGTGCCTTGGCCAACATGAGATCAAAAATGACAGTTACCAAGACTGAACATTGTTAAACATCACATTGATATTTGCACACTAAATTGCTCATTTGTGGTGATTGTTTCTTGTGTTATTTGGCACTTTGTTTATATGGATGTTTTTCTCCATGTTCCTATCAGCAGTGCTTGGGATTTTGTCTTTAGTCCTCCTCCTTTGAATTACATTTTTTAAATTTTATTTTGGGGGATGGAGGCAGGGAAGGTAATGCCATATACTCAAAGGAAAAGGGAAAGGAGGAGGGGGAGGGGGGTCGGCCTCTTGAAAAAGGATGGAGACCACAAAGTTAGTGAATCTCCAAATTTTACTGGTATATGTTAAAACTGAAATGACATCAGAATTCAAAATAGGTAACTTGTTGTATAATACGAACAAAAGTGGGAAGATAATATCAAAGAATTGTTGAACAATACTCTGAAATAGTATTCAACCAGGTGAAGAGGACAGAGGTGGAGATCCATTGTACTAACCTTCATTGTGAAGTCAGCACCTGTCAGATTGCACAAAATGAGGAGTGGATATATAGGGAGCTTCAGGAGATGGCATGAGATATGACACTAGGCCTGATCTGGTTTGGGAGCCAATTTTTCAATGGAGGATAAAGGGCTGACAAATAGGAAAAAATTACGAGCTAACATGTCCAAGTATATCCTTTATCATATATATAGAATTCAGTTAATTTGACTTGGTATCTTTACACTACCTAATTTTTGAGTTTGGATATTTTGATTCTGTCATGACTTCAGCATGTCTGTTTTGTGTAATTTTGTAAGGAAACATAGCATTTATACTACTGTGGGCAGTAGCATTGAAAGTCTATGGTTAAGTGACAGCAAGAAATCAAAGTTAAAATTTTCAGAACATGCATCTTTCCTGTAACAACATACGGAAGTGAGTCATGGACTATCTCCCAGTCCTTAAGGAAGAAAAAAGGCGCTTTCAAGCTGAAATGCTATAGAAGATTCTCAGAATACCGTGGACAGCGAAGAAATAAAATACTGAGATTATAAAAGATCTGACTATCAAAAAAAGATAGGCTAATAAACAGCATCTTGTCTGGAAGCCGAAATATCTTGCCATACCAAGTATCACAGCAGATTTGAAAAAAATGAGGGAAAAAACATAATAGCAGAAGGCATGGTACCAGAAAGGACCCACCAACACGAATATGGGCACAGGATAAAAGTGACACATTGGGTACGAACCTGCATGAGGTGGGAAAGCTGGCCAGACCGTGATGAAGGCAACATTCTGCAAAGGACCTGCTACATGATGATGATGAATACTAGCACATAGATATCTACAAAAACACACTTGTGTAGATACTAGCAGGTACATACATATAGAAGCATACTTTTATAGACACTAGCACATAGACAAATACACTTTTACAGATGCGTACACACCTGACACCTTGTGTGGGGTGATACTCTCCCCCTGACGACTCTGTAGCATCAGCTAAAAAGTTACAAAGAGTTGTCTTTCCGGACTGAGAATATGAACATGAAAATATTATTTTATTTATAGAATGAACAGAAAATATTACATTTAAGTTGTTTAAAGTTTACAGAATTATCTTTAATTTATCGATTACTTTCTTCTTCTTCTCCATAGCATTCACTGGCTGCAAACTCCAGCAGAAAGCTCTGGTTGTTCACCAACTTCCAGATTTTTGTTTTGTTCCATAACTTGAGTATGATGTGAATATCCATGTTTATTTTTCCCCAATTCTGGCTTATTTATATGCAGACTGTTGGTTTCTTGATTCTCAGGCAGATGCACTCTGACTTGGAAAGAATCACCCCTGATTAGTCACCACCTATGACATGCTTAGCTTTAACCCCCTGCCACATTCCCTAGCCACCTAAAAAAGGGGCTCAGAACTTAAAGTGGGAGTACTGGGTTTTATTTCATACTGCTAGATCTGTCTCCACACAGCAGCCTGGTCATCCACTAACTTCTTCTTCTTTATTTTGTCCTTGATTTTTTCTCCAGGCTATGCTGGTGAAGTGAGTAATGAACAGAGAGACAGATTGGCTGGATCTGCACCACTGGGTGGTGAACTGATACATGACAAGGCAGATGTGGTCAACGCCCTTTCGGAACAAGCAACGGAATCAGTAGAGAAAGAAGATTATTTTGGCCTGGAGAGAATGAAACACCTGGGTGTAACCAGAGGGTCTAGGCAGCTCACTACACTCAGAGGAAAGGCGAGATGGACATATAACCAGATTGTGACCGGTACCATCAGTACTGAAACTCTGAGATCGCTGCTGAAGATGATGACAGAGCATGCATGGCAATGCGCTGAGGGCTGTAATGTCAATTCCTGACCCAACTCAACTCAGCTCAACTCTTTTTCCTTCAGCTTAAGCCGTAAAACAAAGCAGAGAGAAGTTAAATGAAATTTTCTGTCTTTTGCTGTCACATTGCGTGTCTGTAGTGTCTCTATTACTTCCACACCATATTTCTTTCTTGGTCAGCCTCTTGCATATGTAGTTTACTGTTTTTTATGTAGCATACTGACCAGATGACCAAATCATTTGGTTCTTTAATGTTCTATGAAATCATTAACCTATACTTGTTCTTTGTTTTCTAATGGTGACTCCGTCTCTTCTAGTTCTTTCTGTGACATTTCTCATACATCTAATTACATGTTGTAATTTTGCATTAATTTTTTTTCAAGGACTGTCCATGTCTGGCACTGATAGCACAAAGCTGGTATGAATAGTGCAGTTAGCACATCCACTGACAGTTGCATGCAAAGTACAACCTCCATAGCTGCAGTGTTGACCTCCCAGGAATTTCAAAACCAATTATAATAATTTTTTTGTAGGTGTTTGTAACAAAATTGCCCTGTGTCCTATTTCTCAATATAGTCTCCCTGCCTTGCAACACATGTAGTCCACCAATCCACAAATGTGTGTATGCCTGCCAGGTAGAATAGAAGCTTTTGGGTATGGCCAGTAACCAAGTTTGCACCACCGACATCACCTCATTGTCATTTGCAAATCTCTGACCCTGTGGATATTATTATTTATTAGTTCAATAGGCCAAACAAATGAAAGTCCCATGTTGTCAATTCTGGGCTGGATGTTTCAGTACTTATGTGTCATGAATTTTTTTTCTCCTGTATACTATTCCATACAGACTTGGCTAAGATCAATTGCAGGCTATCCTCCGAATAACGGGCACAAAAGATAGCGGCCCAAAACAGGGCCTCAGTCACGTGTCAACTGTGCACTTCCGGAGACCTAATTTGCGGTTTTCCGGCGACTACTGCCACTGCTGAGAGTATCCCCCACATGGCGTGGATTTGGGCTAAACCAGATATCTAGGACTCAGGAGCACAGCTGCAGGAGATGCGGAGGCTGCTGCTCGTGAGTCCCAGCCATCTAGTTTAGCCCCAATCCACGCCACATGAGCGGCGTGGGGATACTCTCGGCGGTGGCGGTAGTCGCCAGAAAACCGTAAATTAAGTCGCCAGAAGTGTGCAAAAGACACGAGACTGAGACTCTGTTAGGGTGTTTTTTGCGGCTGCCATCTTTTGTGCCCGTTATCCGGAGGGCGGCCCAATTGCTTTTACATAATGACTTCCTCTTGATCTATAAAATATAAGTCTAGCTCTATATGTCTAATGCGTCTGAAAGCGTGAAAAGGTGACGTTTCCTTTGTTTTCACTTTACTGTTTTTACTATTAGTACAATTACCGTTGTTACTGAAAAATTGTGTAACAATTAATAACAACTGGTCAGAAAGAAATCACTTCTGTAACTAATACAAATAAATAAGCCGCCCACCAATATATGTCACCTTAAAATCTCACCTCTGGTGGGCCAACAACGATAATTTTGACTTTAGACATGGTCGACTAGAAACGGTGCAATATTCACAAGAAATATTATGGGTTGCTTAGTAGAGGAGCCAACAGTTTACACTGGCAACGATGGCGGATGTGGAATGTATTGCCGATAGGAGTGCACTCCCTTTATGAAGACGCAAGTTACCGTTAAAAATCAAACCTAACCGCAACGTCTTCTTCACTTCCACGTGAAATCAAGTAAACGAACTTCCAACTTCATAGCAAATTGATCGCCCTATAGTTGCTTCTTTTCTCTGTTAACGAAAACATTGACACAGGCTGCATTTTCAGCAAAGCCATTAAAGTTTCTCTGACGTTATCGTTCCAAGTGGTTCTTGTCTACTTTGTGCTCTGCGTCCATCCCCACGTTTGGTATATATCTTGCATGGCGTCGCCAGGCACTATCTTCAAGCGGAAAAACCATTGTATTTGATGTATTTGTTTGTTGTTTAGAACTTGTTCTGTGCCGACTTTTTCTCTTACGATTTCATTCCTGCGGACTAGACTGGTGGTGGGCAATGCTGAATCTCTGACGTTAACTGATTGCGTGACCTGGGAGTCAAGCTTGGTGAAGCACGTCTATGACTTCTTCGAGGAGCCAGTTGTCCCGTTTTGTACAAATCTAGAAACAAGCTCAAGAATATTACGCAACCTTATTGTTATATCTTTAGACCTGATTAGATTTTATAGTTTTCAATATTTTTAATGCCCGTAATGTGCAAACGGGCGTTTTCATTGTAGTGTGTTTTTATTGATTATGGCTAAGACAATTTTTTGCCTATACAGTATCAGGTTCTTGAAATGTTTTAGTGGTTAATAATAATGATAAAAATATGAATAATAACAACAACAGGGGCGTGGGGGTGCTGAACTGATTTTCTTGGGCTATCCCATTTTCAGCTCGAAATATTAGTCGGGTGTCTGTCCCGTTTTCAACTCAAGATGTTGTTGTCATCCTGGATTGGAGACTCTATTACCAACTGCTGATAGGAACAATCAGTAGAGGTACCTTGGAGTGGCTCCTCAATTGGACAAACGAGCACGCATGAGAATGCCCAATCTGAAAGGATGGATGGATATTTGGAAACAAAAATAATAAAACTCCTTGACTCCTCCAATCTGCTCCTGGTTGAGCGGTGACTATATCGAGTCCGTGTTTGATAGCTGACTCTTGGTTGATCTTTTTATTTGTAGCGTTTGGGTGCACCTTGATTACCGATTTTCTATTTTGTGCTTTTCTTTTTTGTCTGTGAGAGGCAGTTTTGCTCGTGAGTCCCCAGCAATATAGTTAAGCTCCGAGCACCAGCTTCTCTAGATAAAAAGAGAAGGCCGTACCCCGAGATACTCTCGGTGGTGGTGGTAGTCGCCGGAAGTTCACAATTTACATGTGACTAAGGCCCTGTTTTTTTTTAACCGCCATAATACGTGGCCGTTGTTCGAAGGATAGCCGACCAGGGTTCTGTTTCTGGCGGTTCGCAGCGGCACCCGGTAACCGCACATTTGTATAAGGCATCGGTTTTTTTTTTCCTAGCACTTCTGTAATAGACACTCCATGGCGGCGTTTCCCAAACTTTTCTTAGTCGCGGCTCATTTTTTTTTTAAATTAAAATTTTTCCACGGCGCCCTAACCTATGTGAGAGTATGACTATTCTATGCAAGTGATAACACAAAATAAAACTCATGTATCTTCGAATATTTCGCAGTGCCCCTGTGAAGATGTCGCAGCTCCACGGGGCGCCGCGGCGCACAGTTTGAGAATCACTGCTCTATTGTGTTGAACTACAAAGGGACATCACACCACTCGGGAATTCCCGTAAGCTCTCTGTCGTCATCTACAGTTGTCAGCGAAGAGTTTCAGTTCCGATGCTGCGCTAGTAGCAGTCTGACTATCCTCTATCAGTGTCCCGCTGTGCCTTTCATCTTCCTCGCGTTCACCAGCTGTAAACTCTGACGGAAAGTTCTGGTTGTTCGTCCACTTTTGCACTGCAGTCCTGTTCCAGAACCTGAGTGTTGCCTGTGCATCCGTTTGATAGATCTGACTAATTTGTATGCAGATTATTGGTTCCTCGCCAGATGCACCCCTGTTAGTCGACTCTTACGACATGCTTTTTGGGTAGGCAGTGGGCCTATTCTTGTTTTCCCTATAATAAGGCCCCGAAACCTACAAGGGGAGTTGTGCCCTTATCTATCATATAACAGTTAAGACCCCTTTTTCACGACTTTCAGGCTCACTGGGTAAATAGGGCTGGATCTATATTGAATAGACCAAACGGCACTTGGTGGATGATGTGGACAGCATCACACCGGCGGTCTTTACTTCCTAGGACTTAGGTACCCACTCAAGGCTGGGTTGACCTGGGAGCCAAAGTCATTTAAAAAAAAAAAAAGTCAAGAACCGAATCCACGACCTTGGATAATGGGTCCTTTATTTCCCTTTACTTCTATTGTGAACTGATTTGACTCATAGGGGAAGTAACTTGCCAAATACCAATTTATAAAATACAAAACGGAGTTACCCTCCAAAACAAATTCAAGAGTGCAAGAAAAATTCCACCCTGAGTGGAGTTACCTACATCTTCTGTCCCAGGGTATGCTATGAAAGACGTGATAGATTAGCCAGCTGTAGTATGGTTGCAGAGGGCTGGCCAATGGACATTCTAATGCACTTTGAGCAATGGTTCTCAATCTGGGTGAGGGAGGGGTCCTCCCAATGAAGGTGCAAGAGTTCAAGGTGGGGGTGGGGTTGGTCATCAAGCAATATTCTTCTTCTTCTTCGCGTTCACCAGCTGTAAACTCTGGCGGAAAGTTCTGGTTGTTCATCCACTTTTGGACTACAGTCCTGTTTTTGAACCTGAGTTTTGTGTGTGCATCTGTTTTACAGATCTGGCTCATTTGTATGCAGACTGCTGGTTCCTTGCCTCTCAAGCAGATGTACTCCGACTTTGAAGGAAGCTCCCAATTAGTCGACTCTTACAACATGCTTTTGGGCAGGCAGTGAGTCTATTCTTGTTTCCCTATAATAGGACCCCAGAACCCACACAGGAAATCAAGCAATATTGATATAATACTACAATTTTTTTTCTTATTTTAATTAGAAATAAAATATTAACAGTTACAAAAACAAAACAGCACTGCTAGCTTGACATGGGGAGTGATCGCCATTGTGCCTTGTAGTACATCATCATCATCATGTAGCAGGTCCTTTGCAGAATGTCGCTCTCATCACAGTCTGCCTGAAAGAAACTTGGTCTCTCGCCAGTTCTCCTGCCTCATGTACTTTCATACACAAGGAGTCACTTATATCCTGTGCTCATCCTCGTGTCGGTCGGCTCCTGCCCCTCCTTCCTGGTACCATGCCTTCTGCTATAATTTTTTCCAATCTGCCGTGGCGCTTGATATGACCAAAATATTTCAGCTTCCGGAAAAGGATGCTGTTTATTAGCCAATCTTCCTTGATGTTGAGATCTTTAAGATGTCAATATTTCTCCTCTTCTTTGTCCAAGATATTCTAAGAATCTTTCTATAGCATTTCAGCTCAAAAGCCCCTATTCTTTTTCTTAAGGACTGAGAGATAGTCCACGACTCACATCCGTATGTAGCCTACAGGGAAGATGCATGCTCTCAAAATTCTAATTTTTATCTCCTTGCTGGTGCTTAACCATAGACTGTTAAGGCTGTTCATTCTTTGCATTGCTATGGCCATCCTCCTTGTTGTACACCAGACCAAAAATAAAAGAAAGCAACAAGACAATACAATGTCAACCATCAGTAGGAAATTTGGATACTCAAATACGAGTTGTTGGGGATTATTTCTTTTATGTTACTTGACACTCAGATTTATGAGTATGTTTTTCTCCAAGTTCTTGTTAACAGTGCTTGTGATTTTTTTAAATTTTAATCTCTTGCTTTTTAATCACTTTTTTAAAAGGGGAACAAACGGTTTTGCCATATATTCAAGGGGGCGCCTACTGGAAACATTTGAAAAAGACTGCCTTAGACAGACAGACAGACACACACACACATACATACACACACACATTGAGAGAGAGAGAGAGAGAGAGAGAGAGAGAGAGAGAGAGAGAGAGAAAGAGAGAGGGGGAGAGAGAGAGAGAGAGAGAGAGAGAGAGAGAGAGAGAGAAAGAGAGAGAGAACAATCGAAAGATCATTGTTACAAATGCAAGAACTGGGAGTAAAAATTCCCACAGCCAGACACGAAAAGCACACCAGAGTTATGAGCATAAATTTAGGAAATGGGAACATATTCTCTGTTTTCCATTTGTATCCCAGAAGACAGAAGAGTTACACAGGATAATGTTGATTTAAAACACACACACACACACACAAAACCCCAGTACTACTAGATGTATGAGAAGTCTTATGTAGATCAGGTACAATTAACTGTAGGTGGTGATATATATGCTGGGGTAGGGGGTGGGGGAGGAGGATTCTGAGCATCTATGCATGTCTGAGTGCAGTGAAGATAACTCCTAACTCATAAATCATAACAGGAAATACTGAAGCCAACACGGTCTTAGAAGAAATTAAACAAAATACCAACATGTTTGTTTTTCTTGTGCTTCAAGTGATGAAATGTTTTGCTTTATTAATTAAAATATGAAGTCATTACAAAAGCAAAAGTTTGAACAGTGAAACAAGCACACATTGGAATAAATAATTTCTAATGAATTATAGATGCATGAATTAACTGATTAATGAAAATGTAACAGGTCTATGATATAATCATGTTTTTTCTTCCAGTTATCAGGAAACAATGATGTATATAAGTTATGTAGACTTCAGATATTTACAGTAAAGTAACACACATGAAATGGCTTACTGCATTATACAAATCATGTTTCATAATGAATAATTACTTTCTATACACGTATAGTTAAACATTTCCTAATATAAAGGGTTGGCTTTGCAGGAAGGTAGGTAGATAGTTGTAAACCCCCCCCCCCCCCCCCCCCCCCCCCCCCCAAAGACATCACACAAGCGATTAA